CATAAAATAATAGTCCTTATTCTTCAATCTATTTCATACAATAATAGTCCTTATTTCATAAAATAATAGTCCTTATTTCATAAAATAATAGTCCTTATTTCATAAAATAATAGTCCTTATTCTTCAATCTATTTCATACAATAATAGTCCTTATTCTTCAATCTATTTCATACAATAATAGTCCTTATTTCATAAAATAATAGTCCTTATTTCGTACAATAATAGTCCTTATTCTTCAAAACTAGTGATATATGTAGCGTCTCGACCACAACTATCTATCGTACCACAGCTGGCCTGATGAGCTTTGGTATTGTGCGAAAGGCCTCGTTGGCACTGGTTATTTCATATGTAGTGTGGTTGAAATATTATAACACATTCTCCCCATGTTTTCATTTCTGGATTCTTAGAATTAAGCTTCTTATTTTCACGATGATTTGTCTTCCCATCATACTTCGGCTCAACTTGCCACCGTAACTGTAAAACGTCTTATGGGAGAGAATGTTACAGTGTTTCGTATTCTTCGAGTTTCATCAGTACATCGTTGCCGTAAAGTATCTGTACAGTGTGTTCAGAACAGAATTAATTAAAAATTGTGTACCAATAATTAAAATCATTTCTCATCCAGGTCAAAATCATATAAACGTCTACCATGTTTTAGTTGTCACGTTCAAACTCATTTGAATTATTTATTTAATACAGCCGCAAAATAAACGAACGGAATTCAACCCCAAAAGTATGAGTGCATCGAACGTTTAAACTACCAGTGGCTCAACCAATCAAGCTGGACGACTCTCATTCACCTTAACCCCTAGTGTGTGTAATGTACAAGAAAAATGATGAACTCTGGTCAAAATGGATGAATTTGTTACTAAAACACGAACTCTCCCGGCGTTTTGTGTAAATACTTTTTTAACAGAATGTGCATCAGAAATGTATAATACTTTATGTCATATTAAATCCGCAGCCCTTGTTGGCTTGTGGGTTATATAGGTTTACAGCAAGAGCACGTATTATATAGTGTTATGTAAGCTCGAGCATTAAATGAGCTTAAATTTCAAAATAATTTTTCAAAAAACAAAAGAAATATAGCTTCCTGTGGGTTTGCTCTAAATAGTGGTAATAAAACTTTGTTCTTGATTTGACGGTTTTTATTTAATTTTCATCATATCTTGTTATATAAACGTGTTACGATTTGTTCATTAAATGCATTTCCCCTAGCGAGTTATTTCTAGGCTTAAAACCATTTTGATGTAAATGTGTCAGACGTCTTCCACAAAAATATTTTTATATTTATACAAATCTGGCTCAAATTCAACGATTTAATAATGTATTTGGTAACTGTGAAACTCATGTGAAAAGTATTATTTGTAAATTGCTCATAATTAAATGGATTATTTATTTGTATCTGTGTACTTTATGCTATTGATATCAAAATATCCCTACACTTTCTGTATACACACAAATATATATATATTTTTGGCAAACATTACTCTTATCAATTTTTACACTTACGTAGATCATCTTGCATTGCTAGAAACCGGGTTTCGATACCAGTGATGGGCAGAGCACAGATAGCCCATTGTGTAGCTTTGTGCTTGATTACAAACAAATAAACATTTTGCATTTCCTAAGTTGGCCAAACTTCATGTATTATTGGGATTAAGGCCGAAAGTACCTCTAATAGGCTCTCAATCAATGATTCAACGCATTGTCTTCATTATAGGTTTGAGTTGTTTGTTTAGATATCTTACTTTTGATAAGAAGTTTCCAATGATTATCAGAATATCAACCATTTGGATAACAAACAAGAAATGTTTTGTACCTAAAAACAGAAAACAACAACAAAAAGAAGAAGAATAAGATCAATAGATCCACAAATAAAATCAAATTTAGTAACATTTTTTGAGGTTTTTATCAAAGGTTGAAAGAAACCCGTTTGCATTAATTAACTGAGTTAATAATCAAGATTTAAGTAATTTGTGGAATGTGATGTATACTTCAAACAATGGAGGGATGGAAACTCGTTTTTTAATGTATTTACTTTAAAAAGTTGTATGAAAGAAAATATATTTGTCATTTTGCAATAGACTTTTACTGATTTGCTACAGTCAAAGATTAAAGATTCAATGAAAATATTTTTCACAATCCATCCTTTTACTTGACAAAATTTGTCTTAACAATTTACGACTTTCCTACGTGACAAGCTATCGGGCCATAACATGTTGTTTCAACGTGTTGCTGAACAAGTCAATGATAACTTAGTTTTCAATCACATGATGTCTTTACAACGCATTATAGCCTCATACATCGGTATCTAAGAGAATCTTAACGTATTGACTCAATGCATTGTCGAAATACTCAATAAGGCTGTCGTAATTTTTGTTAGGCCTCACGTTTTTGAGCACATATAAAAAATGTGAGGCCTAGCAAATTATTAACTATTTTGACACAGCGTTGGATCAATACGTTACGATTCTGTTCGATACGTCCTACAGGGCCATAACGCGCTAATTCAACGCGAAATCGAACATCAACAATGCGTTGAGTCAATACATTCTGACCTGTTGGCTTGCATGTTCGTATCTTAAATTACTCCGTTAGCTCGACTTCATTTTATTCCTAAATAATTTTTGAATACTTCTTTACGTTCAGTAATCTGAACAATACAGTTTATGTGATTTTTATCACAAATAGAAGGCCTAGTAGTTTCTAATGATTCGCCAATTTTCCGTAACTTTTAAACTACATAAAAGCAATGACATAAATTACTGAAGAACTGTTTGTTTAGAAGTTGTTATTTTTTTTAATAAGGAACACTGTTGTTAAAAACCGTTGAATTTAATCATACAACAAATGTGTGTTGGAAACTTTTAGCAACAATGAGTTAAAATGTACAATATTGTTATTTGAAACTACTCTGCTGTACATATGTTAGATTTAGTATTACACACGGATTTTATTTATAACCTTAGCAACGACGTTTGAAATTAATAATAGTACATATAATAATACACAATAATTGTATTTTAAGGTACTCTGTTGGCTACAGTAACTTGAACAGATTGATATCTAAAACTATTCTGTTACATTATAAACTTGATTTAACAATACACAATACTTGTATTTTAAGGTACTCTGTTGGCTACAGTAACTTGAACAGATTGATATCT